AATTCTAAAATAGTTTTTCAGAATTTTTGCACTTTTTAATGGAAGATTTTGTAAATTCCTCACTGTATTTGTGTTTATTTATTAATGATTAATCAAAAATGACATATTTAAAGGGAAGACTAATATATTCATTTTTGTCATTATCATTTCATAACCATTTTACTCCACAAAATTACACATTTCTATCAATTATCAGCTTTTTCTGAATCTGAAAAATTATTTTTTTCGTTCTCAATGTTGACCAATTTGATTTTCACTCGTTTATTAATTATTGTTTAAATAAATAAATATTGAATTGGTTGGTTTAGTATTTTACAATTTAAAATAAATTTGAACTTGGTATAAAAATGAAAAAATCACAAAAATTTGAAGAAAGAAACAAACATCAAAGTTAAATTTAATATAAGGAAAGAAGGGAGCATCATGAAATTAGAGTTAATGAAAAAAGACAAACGATAAAATTTGAGTTTTAAGGGAAGAAACAAACAGTAATATTAAAGTTAATGTAAAAAAAAAGAGGGAAAAGATTGAAACTGAAGCTGTATAAAAAAGAAGCAAAGATAGGATTAAATTTAATGTGAAAAAAGAAACAAAAATGGAATGCTAAATGAAATAATAAATTTCATCCTACTCTTTTATTTATTTCTCTTACAAATGCTACTTTTAATCTTAATGTTATGAAAGAAGTTCTTAAATAATATTTCGTTAATTCAAGATTCCAAGAAAAACTGATGAAAAAAAGTTATTTCCAATTAAGTCGATAATTTGAGTCTGAAAAATATTTAAAGCAATTTTTTATTCAATACAAAATTAAGAGAGAAAAAAGACATTTAATTTTCAGCAATGACATAAAATAAAATGTAAAACATAGAAATGACAAGAAATTAAACTGTTGGCCAAAATATGTCGAAAATACTGAAGTATTTCTGAAGAAAATACTGAAGTATTTCTGAAGAAAATACTGAAGTATTTCTACGATACAAAAATATTTTGAAATATTTTTATATCATAAAAATAATTTTATTTAATCATGTTCACGACCAATGTAAATAATTGCGGAAAATTTGGCATCACAAGCCTCCTGTAAGGATCTTTTTGAAAAGATTTCAATCGAATGATGAAAGTTACAATTTTAAATTTGTTGTAAATAGTCGCATCATTTATAGAAAAAAATAATTGAAAACAAGAAAAAAGGCATTGTTGTATTGTTTCTCCCTTTCAGTCATACAACAACCTGCCCACTTCATTCAAAACTTCATTAAACAACAATGTCAACCGATTTCATTTAAATTTTCTACGGATTATTGTTAATGGGAAACAACCTGATGATCAGTTCTAACTAATTGTTCTCTAGCATCCAAAAAGAATAAATCTTTCATCGATAAACCTTTCATCAGTTAATAAGCAACTAAATTCATAAAAATTAGTCGTCGATTTAAACCAAAATAACTTTGTCATCATTAAATTATTCCAAAACAAGAATCCTTGGGCTAACAAAACCTTAGAGTAAAGAGTAAAACGAAAAAATCTACAAATTATCCTGGGCCAATATGCACCAACTAACTATACCAAATATTTTCAAAGTTAGCTTATTCGAAATGTTTCTTATATCAAGATAATTGACTAGATAAAGTATAAGATTTAGGATGGATTAAATGAACAAAATTTTCAGTCCTCAAATTTTCTTAAATTAATGCAAATAAAATAATGCACTCCTTAATTTTCACTTTACTTGAAATAAAATAAACTCTCATTGCAAAAACGATTAATAATAATTAATATTTAATATTGCAGTCATTTTATCAACGAAGTTTTGATTGTAAAATGATAACATACCTTTTCCTTATTATTATATATATATTCTTAAGTGAAACATTCAAATCTTTGATTAAAATTGAAATGCAAATTTTTTTGTTGTTTCATCAACTTAAAAGTAATTCATCGATCTCTTTAGAATTTCATTCGATTATTACATTCTCGAAATTGCATTGAATAAATGATTGCAATTTAATGAAAGAAATTTGCAATAAATTTTTGATCAAATATTGCAACAAATTTGATGATTCTTTTTCTTTGTTGTCTCTTCAGAAAACAATACTTTTAAAGTGACGACAAATAATAACCACATTTGAATAATCGTTTTTTTATTTCACTGATTATCTCAATATTATTTGCAAAATTGATTTATTTGTCTCATTTGTAATGAAATTTATTTAGAATTTTATATTTCTTATCAAAGAAATGCAAACAAATTGGAGGAATGAAAAAGATACAAAAATCAAAGATTCTCTTTTTTATTTGTTAAAAAATGAAAATAGATCATAAATAAATGATTGTAAATTTGATGAAAAAATATATAATAAGTTTTGGATCAAACACTGCAACAAATTTTTGAAGTTTCTTTTTTTATTGCTCCTTGAGGAAACTAAGCTTTTAATATGGAAAGAATAAAATGAAAAGCCATATTTGATGTAAAAACTTGTTCCGCTGTAAACTACGATTTGAGCCAAACTTATGGTTGATTAACTGTTGATTAGATACTTGGGATGATTTCTGAGTTTTTATTAACTAGCCTAATAGCATCAGGCTTTCCAACTAATTTCCCTATCATTTCCCAAGCAATGTTTTATTACAATGTTAATTACTCCTTTATAAAATAAGCTAAAATTTGAAATTATTACTTTTTAAACATCTTAGCCATTCAAAATACTTGCAAGCCAATTTGAAATTACACCTTTGCAGTTAATTATTTATTTCAGAAATGGACTATCAACTCATCACTTTTGCACTAGCAGTTTTGGTGACATTAGCACACGGAACTAATTGGCATCAAATGTTTTTTATGGGAGACGAAGAACTTAGAGCAGAGAGTCCTGCAGATGCATTCTTCCGAGGGTGTTGCATGAAGGAATCTGTTAATGATTTTTGTACAAATAAAATGTGCAGTTTGAGTAGAATCGCTGGTATGACACATTGGACGGTAATTTTTATTGCAATCTTCAAATCTGTTAATTTTAATTTTTTTTTTTTTACCAACTATAATCACTAATTAAATTTGTCTGCTATTACTACTACTGAAAATTAATTTTTGCAAGCCTGTAATTATTACTAATTAAATTTACTGCTACTACTGCTAATAGATATCAAAGTTGGATTTCATTGCTATTATTGATAGACTGGAATTGTTACTAATGATAACAGATGAACTTCTCATCTTCAATGAATAGGCAAAATTAACTTTCACTCTTTGCACTTAAATCAATCCGCAAGTTAAGTTGCTATTATTTAGAAATGCTAAAATTAAGTCTGAACAGAAAATTTACAAAAGTTGCTCTCAAAATTTAATTTGCTATTTTTGAAGAAATAATTTGTAAAAGTTTTGTTTTCTTTTTTAAACTGAATTTGCTTGTTATTTTATAACTTCATTCTTCGGTTACAGTTTATGCTAAGTATCAAACAATGCAAACCGCAACTGAAGAAAATTTTCAAATGTGCTTCGGACAACAAAAATCAAACTTCTTGCTGCGTTGCACGGTAACTTATCATCACACAAACATTCTTGTGCTAATTAAAAATTTTAGATCAAATTTACTCTTAAGTTTCAAACTTTTTCCGCTTACTTTGTATTTATTTAAACATCAAACAAATTTTAGTTCAGCTCTTTAAATTCAATTATTATTATTATTATCATTATTGCTATTATTATTACTTTTGCTATTAATTATTTTCGTTAATATTAGTACTATTTTTGATATTATTGCTATTACTAATTTTATTCTTATTTATTATCATTTATTCATTTTAATAAATTGGCAAATTTCAGTGGTGTACCTGAACAATGCATCAAGATTTGCAATGGAGCGGAAACACTAAGATTAAGAGAACTAAGCATTTTTTGCGCCCGGCATTCTAAGTCAATTCTTCAGTGCTTCAAAGAAAATTTTGTTCCTTTCCATAAACTTACTGAAATGAAATAACTTTCTCATACAATAATGGAAACTGTTTATATGTTTGTTTGCATATTATTCAGTTCAAAATTTGTTTTATTTTGGTAAATAAAATACGACTCAAATTCTTACAGGTATAAAATAATAAAAATCTGTTTGTTCTTGTTGCTTCATTTCCTTTATTTTTTTTATTTTAAAATAATTTAAGATAAAAAATTTGCCTTCGTTACAATTGCAGTTATTTGTTTCGTTAAAAGTTAAGGTTGAAAAAATTGCACGCACAAAATTTCAAAAACTGAAGATTTATTTAAAATTTGATAGATTTTTGAAAAATATATGCACAGGGAAAATACATTTGTTTTTTATAAATTTTGATAGACATTGAGAGAAAAATTTTAAGTTTTTTTCTTCAACATATAAAATTATACTTAATCGATGCTTTTTTAATTAAATTACGTTTAGTTAGCAAAAGGATGAAACAGCTAAAAAAAATTGAATTATACTCATAAATTTGACATTAATTCGTCATCGTCATATTTAGCCCTTTATGCTTGAATAACCGTCAAAGAGTATTTTTGAATTGCAAATTAATCTTATTATGCCATATGTTATTTTGTTTTTCATGCGGCATAGTACCTAATTAAAGAACTTTATATTACGAATGATTGAGATGCTAACATTAGCATAATGAACATTAGCGCTTACTCAAAATTTTGATTAATTTTCATCACTCTCTTATTGATTGTGTTTTGAATGAATTATTGAATTTATAATATCAAACTAAACATTGGACAATTCAAACGACAGACTAATCAGTTTATTGACTTGGCTGAAACTTGTTTTTGACTTGACTGAAGTAACAATGTTTGTAGAAATTCTTCGATACACAAAAAAAAAAAAAAAAAAAATGTTATAACATAAATGTGCAAATTATTGGTGAAATACTATGGCTGGGTATTATGTTATGCATACGTTTGTGCGTGTCTGTCTGTCATCACTTTACTTTATCGTAAATATTAATTTAATTTATTAATACTCGGAACGAATTTTCAGCGGAGTGCCGCCAAATTGTCGAGCCTATTGTAATGGTAAATCAATAAAAAACATTGAAGACCTTAGTTGTATTTATTACACCGATCCGATTCTGGCTTGTTTTAAAAAATATTATGAAAGTAATACTTTTCCTGCAAAACTGAAAAACTGAGTTATTCAGTGGATATTTGCATATTATCAGATAAACTGATAAGAAAACAAAAAATGTTCAAAATGAGTGCTTTGCAAAACCAGAACATATATTGCAAACATAATGATTTTGCCACTAAACTAATAAAAAGTATTTATAGGTGCATTATTTATTATCTTATTCGATAGCAATGATTAGTTAAAGTTAAAATGGAAGTAATATTTCCTTCAATCTTAAAATGCACACATCCTAGAATGAAATGCAATAGTGACAAAAATTTTACCAGTGATATAGTAATGATAAAGATTATTTGTTCCCCACCGATCAGTCTTGATTTAGCAATTATTTATAGTGATAACGATTACCTGTTTGAATCACTAATCGAACTTTTGTAAAATTGGAGTAAAACCTTATTGCATTGTTTTTTTTTTTTTTTTTTTTTTTTCACTATATAAATCCATCGATATCTATGGAAAATAATTTCTGATCTGTTCAGATGGCTGAAACTAGTTAAATATTTTCAAATAATTTTGATAAAGGCAGTGGAGAGTGATAAAGTGGTGACAAAAAATTGCATTAATAAAGAAGAAGGAAAAGATGAATGAAACAAAATGCTTATACATTTCATTCAACGTCGAGGACTGAAATTAATTTAAGTAATCCTTTACATCAGATATTTTTTATAAAGAAAAATGCAAAAACTTTAGAAAGGAGAATCGTAGGAAGTAACAATCTTAAATTAACTAAACTTATTGAATTGGAAATAAAATTTTAAAAGTTCTCGCGAATAATTTTATTTAAATTACCATTGTTCGATATTTTATCATCATTATCACATAGCTTCTTATTCATATTCTTACTGCTATCATCATTCTTATTTTATATCAAAATATTCCGAAACATTTTTCTGGAGTTTGAAAAAGCAGAAACAATAGCAATTTACAGTGAATACCAGTAAATGTAATTCTTATCAGATTAAAATTTGGTTTCCATTCGGAAAGTTTGAATGCTTTGGCAAATATTAATACTTTTTTTTTTTCAAATCTTTTTCTATTTCTAAGCCATTTTGTGATAAATTTGAGCATAATCAAACTTAACCATATCATTAGAAAATAAAGCTGCTAAAACTGACATTTGAAATTTAAAGTAAATTTTGAAAAAATACAAGTTTTATTTGTTTCTTTCAAATAAGTACTAACTGTAGGTACCTTAAATATCAAGTAATCTGACAAGAAAAAAAAGGCTGTGCAAATAATATCTTACGAATGCAAATGATAAGCAAAAAAATATTTATCTGTTAGCTTTTCCAAAGCTTTAATTAATTTCAATGCTAAAATGAAATTATTGAAATAAAAAACTTTTTTCCTTTATTTTCACTTAATTTTGCTTATGATATTCTGCAATTCTAACCTTTATAAATTTCAATTCAATAAACTTGCTGCAAAATTCATTTGTTGCAAAAAATTATTTGCTTCAAATTAATTTCAAACATTGACATTTGATTGAAATGAATAAGGCACGCTTGTCATTCATTCCTTTTTTTTTGATCGCAAATAAACAAAACGAAATACTGCGCCTATTTAAAATATTAAGGAGGAAATTAATTAGTATTAGTTATTACAAAAATTCAAATTCAATGAAAAGATCGCTTACAACGTGCACAATTTGACAGACAGAAAATTTTTTTTGTTCAATTTAATATTTGCTTACTTATTTTTTTTGTTTCTCTTTTCCTTTTAAACCTATAAAAGCTCTGTAAGATGAAAAATTAGTTTAACTTAAACTTTAGGAAATGAAATTGTTGTTTTGAAATTTTTATTTGTTTCCAATTCATATTTAATCATTACCAAACAATATTAATTTTATAGGTTTAATTTTTATGGATTTTTTTTTCGTTTCTATTTATAACTACTATTGTTTGAAGCATAAAACAATATAATATCATTAGCAAACATTCATCAATTTTTCATTTTTTCTAAAATTTTCATAATAGTTCGGAAACGACTATTATACGTAAAACTTGAAGAGTACTTAGACTGAATTAATTAACTTTTTTATGTTTTGTTCATTTGATGTAATCTAAAAACATTTTGTTTTTTTTTTTGTTTTTGTTTTTTTTTTTTTTTTTTTTTTTTTTTTTTTATTCATGCTTCCAAATATTATGAAAATAATCTGCAAAAATTTATCTTTCTTGTCAAAAAAATGAAAAAGGAAACATTCATTCTGTGTTTAAATTGTATACAAAAAAGATTTTTCAGTCAAAATAAAATTATTACTAAGAATATAAGCATTAGCATTAATATATAGTTCGAAAATTACAATTTAAGCAAATATATCATTGTCAAATTTTAAAAATTTTTAACATTTCGTTTGAAAATTTGGTTTGTATAGCAAAAAAGTTTCTATAATAATTAATAAACGTTTATTTAATTTCTTTACGTTATCTTTTACAAAAAAAATTCATTAAATATTAAATAATTGAACACAAAATTTCATATGCATTTATAAATTTGGACAAAATATTCGTGCAAAAAATAATTTTGAGTATATATTAAGAAATTAAATGCAAATTTGAATATGCAACTATATTTATTTATTTTTGCCATATGAATAAAATTATTAAGAGTAACTGATAATTGATAATATTTTATGAATAAATTTGGGAAAAGGAAAAAACAGGAAAAATTAAATAATATTTCGTTAGAATAATTATTATTTTCTCAATTATTATCCATCATTATTCTTTTTCTTTTCAAAATTGTTTTTTTTTTTTTTTTTTTTTTTTACTCTTTTTTTCTATTTGAAAACTAAAAATTGCTATTCTTTTTTCCTTCCTTTTTTTGCATAAAGTAATGTGCGAAAATTTTTATTGCTTCTGCAAAAATAGCATTGTTAAATATTCAAACTAAGACATTTAAAAATTGCCTTTTGAGCTTAATCTAAATAGCTATTTAGTAATTTTGGCAAAGGAACAAAAAAATAATTTCAATTTTAGTAGGAAATGAAATTTTAGCATAACTAATTTCTAATTTTCTAATAACTAATATATTCAAATTACAAAATACTTAGTATCATAATTTATTATATTTTCTGCTACATTATTGAACCAATAAGTCTTATATTTCCCTTCTTTTTTCTTAAATTTTTATCGAAAAAGAATTATTTTTAATTAATTTTTTTTCTGTTTTTTCTTTTTCTGGCAACAATAATGAATGAATAGTTGTTATAAGCTATAATTATTCATGTTAGTTTATATTTTTAAATCATCTATCAAATAGATTTAAAAATTTTTAAATTCATTTTAACAAACACTGGAATGAATAATATTACTTGTGCTAAAGGTAATCGCTACATCATAATGATATCGTTTTATGGTTGAGAGAGAGGGAAAAAAAGAAAAATAAAAGAAGAAATTCATTTAATACTTGGGAAAAAGTAAATTAGTTTTTAATGGTTTAGTACTTGTTAGATTTCAATTTCAATTTTATATTCATTATTTTGCTAGCTTGGGAATGTTATATATTCATTTATATGAATGTCTTATTTTGGATGAAATGATGCAAAAGTGTTCATTTTTTCTTTCTTCTTTCGATAATATTAGTTTTGTCATTTCATCATAATGTTATAATTGCATGAAATTATTTTAGAAAAATTAAAAAAATTTTTTTTCCGAATTGAAATAATTTAATATAATAATCATTTGTTGTTCATTCTTAATTTTTATTTTCTTTCATCGTTTTTTTTTTTTTATTGCATAAAGTGAAATTTTTATGTTTATTCTTTTCAATTAAAAACTTGCAAAACTACCTTTGAATTTGAATTTTAATTAGATATTAATAAATATTTAATATTTGTTGTTTTATTTTATTTCTATTTACTAAAAAATTTTTCCTTTTCGTTTTATTTCTGCTAGCATATAGTTATAAATCATTAGAAATGGTTTTACTTCATTTAACGATTTATCACTTTCCATCTTCTGTAAATGACTTTCCATTTCTTAAAACATTTAGCTTTTCATCACGTAAATAATTTTTTCTTCACGTAAGTGCTTCTTTTCTTTTGCCATTGCTGCAATACAAATATCCTTTTGTTAAGAAAAAGAAACGAAAATTTTCTCTCACATATTATTATTTAATGCTCAGCTCAAAAGCATCTCTTCATTTGACTTTTACTACTATGTTTTTACTTTTTTTATTATGATTATGATCATAAGCAGGAATATTTTTATTATATTTATCATCATTCATCATTTTATTCTATCATGATTGCTATAATTAAATATTTTATCATAAACAAACAATATCTAATCTTTTATCATCATTCATTATGATTATTACACTTCATTTTCTCATATTCATTAAACTAAAATGTTTAAAATATAAGAAAGTATTATCGGATGTGAAACATTTACGAATATTACTGAATGTGATAAAATTTTGAGTGGTTTATTTGATATATCAATTTGCTATTTCAATTTATCATTTATCTCATTTATTTGAATTCTTCTATTTTGCATATGCAAAGTTCAAACTCAAATATTTCTCATTTCAGAGATGCATCATTTTTATTTATAGCTTAATGAAGATGTTATTTACATTGCATTAGCTATAATTTTAAGTCATTTAGCACTATTCATTGTCGACAACATTACATAAGCTGTTCTATTTAAATGACTTAATTATTAGTGAATTGACAATTTCAACTCTGAGTTATCAAAATTATCACTAATCTTTTGTTATTCTACATCTTTGGTCTTGATGACGTCAAACACTATCTACTTTATTACAACCACTGGTCAACAATATTTTAAAAATTTGTCGAGAATTTGGTGCGCAATTTCTAGCACAACTTTCAAAAGCTTAGTTTAGTACTGTTTACTACATATGATCTATTCGAAATTAGAACATATATAGAAAATGTAAAAAATATATAACCTTAGAAAAAAATTATAGCTAAGATATTACTTTAATATGGCATACCTCCATTTACCTTGCATAATATAATTCATATTTTTAAATTCTGGTTTTACATAATTTAATGACAAAGCATCTAGCGGTAACATTTTTTTTTAAATGCTGAATTAAAGTCAGAATAATCGAAGGAATTCAATTACAAATTTCTTTATTAATGAAATTCTATTATTCAGCCTTCCATCGCCTTGCTATTGGCTATTCGCTATTTAAATAAAATTATGTATTACTTTCTTCCTCTTCTTCCACTAATTTCTTATTTCTATCTTTATATATTATTTCACGCCAATTTTAGAGAAAATTTAAAACTCATTAGTTTAATTAATTATTATTTCTTTTATTCGCGAAAATTTTTGACCCTATTATTTCTTATTTTAACTTCATCATCATTTCTCTATTTGAAATAAATTAACCTTATTATTTGTTTTACTTAAAACAAAAAATTTTAATATTTTAATATATATTTCTTTTTCGTTCTCTTTTCTTCAAACAAGAATCCATCCAATCATTACACTAAAATTTCATTTAGCCAATCTATAAAAACTTAACAAAATTTCTCGTTTCACTCATTTTCATAATTATTATTACTCATTAACAATGAATTGTTTATTTGCCTAATATTATTGCTGATCATGTAAGCCTTTTAGTATATTTATAGCATATTGTCCAAGCATTTATTTAACCAATAATAAGACTTGTTTTTTCTTGTTTTCTCTCCCTTCAACATAAGAATTTCTTTTTTTTGAAAAGATCCTTTTCCCTCATATTGGATATCCAGCAAACACCAAAGTTTGTACTTTGCTTTTTCTTTTCCTCCTTTAAAAAAAATAAAAATTATTATTATTTTTTACTTCAATTGCTGTTAGTTATCACTGAAAATTATATATTCAGAAAAAGAAAAAATGACACCTTTGTTATGATAGTAAAATTAAAAGTGATTGTAGTAAATATAATGATTTTACTACAATGATAATAAAATAATTACAATGAGAGATGAATAAATACTCTCAGAAAGTTATTTAATTGTTTTTTTCTGATATGAATATGAGGATCAGAAAGCCAATCATGATACTCTATTAAGAAACAACAAAATTATCATCATAAAAATCAAAATCTAATCAAGGAAAGAAATATTTTTAGGACAATACTAGGTTTATTTTAAATAACATATCAACTCAATAATTCTACTAATTACTAAGAATTAGTATAATTTTGTTAATTATGATTAATTACTGCAATCATTTCTGTTATTTTAATATCTAAATTTAAAATGAGGATTCTTTTACACAAATATTTTTTTCGCCTTTGATATTTAATTATATATATATATATATATATATATATATATAGATTTAATAAATGTTTTTTATATTTTTAAAATTTTATTTGAACAAACTAAACAGTTTAGTACTGAAATCTCACAATTCATTAAATCATTTCTAAAAATTTTATTATTCGCAATTCCTAAGTGAATATTTAGATATTTTTATAAACAATTTTGCTGTTCCCTATGTTTACTTTATTTACTGAAGTAGCTGAAGTAGGTTTTATTACAAAATTAAAACTTAATTTAATGCATAGATCCAATATGAAAAATGAAATGGTAATAAAAGAGAAAGGAAAAAGAAGGAAAAATATTTGAATTTTGCTGTATATTTGCCGTATTTGAAATGATTTAATGAGATAGCTTACACAAATATGGTCCTAATTATTTCTCATTTCTCTTTTTTTTTGAGAGTAAAGAAATAATATTTTGGATTAAAATATAATTCAAGAAAAAAAAAACTTCTTTCTTTTCTTCGTGCTCTCTCTCTCTCCCTTTTATCCTTCTCTTCTCTTTCATTTTTTCTATGTGAATAATTTAATTTAATAAATGTTTACCACACATTTTTTCTTTTTTGAAATTATTTTATCTAATGATAATATTTTACTATGAATTATAATGCGTGATAAAAACTGATTACGACATTTCTTTTTTTTTTGGCTATACTATTTTTTGACAAAAAGATATCTCAGAGGCATGCAGAATTAAATCAAGCGAAATATTTAAAAGGTTTGTTGACATAGTTTATAAAGGTATACTATTATTTGTGAGTATGTATGTCTATGTCTCTTGTTCACAAATAAAAAAGAGAAAAAATGAAAAAAAGTTTTTCTCAAATTTATGTAATAAATTTATTTTTTCTTCTTTAAAAAATTTATTTTTATATATTTTTTTAAAAGAAGATGACGAAGACAAGAAGATGGAAATTTTTAATATTCGTAAGGAAGAGAGATATGGCATAAAATTAAAGCCATTTGTGTGATTATATTTTATTTACTTCATTTTGAATTAGTTGTGTTTGTAATGTGTGTGTGTGTGTGTTTGTCTGTCAGGTCTGTATGGGTGTGTGTGTGTGTGTGTGTGTTCATGTGTAAAGACGATTGAATGCCCAAAGGATATTTTCATCTGAAACTTTCTTTTCTTTTTGCTTAAAATTATGTCATACATCTTAAGCTAAGTCAATTTTGTAATAGCACTTTTGTCTATGAAAAAAAAAATTCCCAAATTTCCGGCTCAATTTCCGGCTTACTTCTTAACCGAATCAAAATATTTCAGCTTATTATTGCATAAGTGGATGACGAAAAAAAGAATTTTCAAATAAGCATTACTAATGTATGTTTTATGTTATGGAATAAGAAATTTACAAAAAAAAAAAAAAAAAAACGATCATAGTTTAATTTTAATAAAATATTTAGATTAGTGATGGAATAAAGAAAAAGTTTGAATAATTATGATAATATAATTTTCATTTTATGAATGCTAATAATTTGCAAAAAAAAGGGCTTTTAAAAACTGTATTTACATTTGAAATTATGCATATGAATCAAATTGATGTATAATAGTTGAAAATAATATTATATTATACTTTTAGTTGTAAATAATTTTAACATTTAAAGATTGCAATTTTTTATGTGAATTAAATATTACAGGAATTATTTGATTTCTCTCATATCTAAAATCAAAATTTAATCAAATTTTTTTAAAAATATATGTATATCTAAATTTATCTTCATGCTATTTAAAAACATATAAATATTTTTCAAATTTTTATGTAATATATTTATACATTTTATTTTTTTGCACATAACCGTACACTTATACATTAAATTATTGGAAATATTGACTTTTTTCATCATCATTTTCATAAAAATTGAGCATAATTACTTAAATAAATCAAAATTTTATCATCACATTAATCTTTTCAAAAAAAAAAAAAAAAAAAAAGAAAAAATTCTTTAATTTTAAGTAGAATCGGAGAAAAAAAATGGAAAACAACAAAAGCAAAAGAAAGAGAAACAATTCAGATTTCAGTGATATGAGCTGGGCTGTACAACAAATTACATTGTATACAATTTGCATACCTATCATTTTTGCATTATGTATTCTGGCAGCATTCTGTAATATATTGGTATTACTAGCACGAATTCAAATTAGAAATCGAAGTGGAGCATTGGAACTAACATTTTCACTGGCTGTGTCAGATATTTGGACATCAATTGTTGTCGTTGCATCATTATTTCGGAATTCGTACATGCCTGTTGTTTTGGGTATTAATTATTCATCCGTATGTTTCTCACTTACTTTAGAGGTAATCAAATTTTATGATATACATATGTGTTTATTTATTTAATTTCAAATGAAACAAAAAAAAAAAATTGTAGAATATTGCAAAAAAATAATTTTTATCAAAATTTGAATTATATTTTATTACTTTTTTTTTATTATATTACTTCCTTTTTTTTTTTTGCTAATTTATATCTTTTTTTTCTTTTTTTGTTAATTGCTAATTTGCAGAATTTATCAATTGATAAGTGAAAATATATCCCTGTTTTCTTTCTTTATGTTTTAATGGTTATTGAAAAATTTTACATATGAGAAAATTTTTAGCGCACTTTTATTTTGTTCATATTTTTCTATTTGAGCGTGTTATAAAATTATCATATTAATTAATATTTGAAATTAAATTTATTCTATCCTTAGGCTAAATAAGTAATAGATTCCTCAACAGATGAAAATTGTTTTTTTAATTTTTGCATTATTTCAACAGATAACTTTTTCGAGTATAACAAGAATTGGAGTAAAAGATTAATTTGATATTTAAATGACAGTTTCACAGCAAAAAAAAATGAAACATAACTAAGCATCTTTGAACATTTCTCAATATTATCCGTTTAATCATTCGATTCATTTAAAATAACTTTTTAATTAAATTTATGATTGAAGTCAATTCTGTGATAAAGTTGAAAAAAAAAAAAAAAGAATTATTGGAAATGAGAATATGTGTGTAAATTAAAAATTTGTCTTTTTAAAAAAGAAAAAGTATTCCTAATCAAAATTTTTTTTTCAAACTTTAATTTCTCAATTTTTCTTTTTGTCAGATGAAAGAAAAACCAAATAATTATTCAAATGTTACATTTTTGAAATTATATATTGAAAGTAGGAAATAATTTTATTATATATTGAAAGTAGGAAATAATTTTAGTGATTTTATTAAATTAACTAAATTTTCGAATCTTTTTAATAATTAACTTTGTTATTGCAAACTGTTTTCAAATCATTAGTAAACATTATAAATTTATTTCTTCAGGCATTTCGAACAGGTGGATTATTAACTGGTCTTCTTCATCTGTCCACCTTGGCAGTTTATCATTTGGTATCTATCACACATCCATTTGATCATGGCAAATTATTAAATCAACACAGAACTCGATTAATTGTTATTTTAATTTGGTCTTTACCGCCATTACTTCTTTTATTGTATTTTTCCGTTTGGCCTGATCAAGGATATCGGATTAAAAATTGTTCGGTGGTGGAATTTTATGATATGCTTTACTTTCGGATGATAATTTCAATTCTGATTGTTGTACTTATGTTGTGTACCGGATTAATGTATTGGAAATTGCTCAGGCGGCTAAATGAGGTTTCTCAAAGATTTTAATTTATTTATTCAATTTAAAAAAAAAAAAACGAATTTTTTTACAAATCAGATTGAACTTTTTGTTTATCGGTTTTTTTGTTTTCTATTTCTTTTTTTTTGCGCATGTAATACAATCAAACAAATATTGCTTAATGTAATTTATTTATTGAATTATTTTGCACAAATATAAATGCAGGAAATAGCATTATTTTTTATAGACTATTCAAAAAATTTGAAACAAAAAGTTAGCAAAGAGCTAAGCTAATTTAATAATATAAAAATTGTTTTCATCCTACAATTTTAATTCAGAAAGGGAATTTTAACACAAATATGATTGTATTTTGTTTTGTATTTTTCTTCAAATAAATAATAAAATTCTCATTTAATTATAATTAAATTAATTAATTTTGACTGTCAAAAAAAAAATTAATTTAAATCAATCTTATTTTGCACTATTATCAAAAGATAAAATCTCAATAGTAGCTCTAAATTTTTTTAGTCTTTTTCAAAATCCACAACAACAATACGTAAACAACGTATTGTGGTAGCATCAGGTCTTATTTTTGGAACATTCGTCATAGGTTGGCTACCCGCGTCATTACTTTACATACTTACTGCGCAAGATATGCCACTTTATCATGTCAAAAGTATTTGGCTAAATTTATTTGCTTTAACAACACTGATTCTAATTATGATTAAATCAATTACCAATCCGATCATCTATGCTACCAGGTAAATGTTAATTATGAATTTTTTTTTTTAATTTTTAAAGAATTCTTTAATTTTTTTTCAATCTTTTGTCTTTCATTCTTTTCCAAATAAAAAATTAAAAAAAAGAATAAGCAAGACAAAAGAGATGAAATTTATAAGTTTCTAAAATTTTTGCAATAAATTTTGAAAAATTCTAAAAAATTTCTAATTTTTTTTATTCTTTTTAATGATAAAACTAAAATAAATAGTTATAAGGTAAATTATCACACTTAAAAATGAGAAAAAAATTCAAAAGTTTGAAGTTTTGAAATTTATTTACCATGGAATTTATCCAGATTGTTATAATTCAACAAAAAATGAATGCTATTTTTTATACAAAACATAAATAATTGTTTCATTAAAAATTTTATCATTTGCAGAATTCCAGAAATTCGTCATTTAATTGATGAATGGCGAAATCATGTTCGAATTGGTAGGAATAGAATTAAAAATGATAAACGAAATTGCGATGAACATGAAACATCATTTTGTAAAATTGGTGGAAGGAATAAAAATGAGATATCACACTAAATTGAAAACTGAAAGCTTAAATGTATTGAACAGATCGGAAGTAAATCAATCTTGGTGTGCGTTCCTGTCTTATTCAATTTCAATAATTTATTTCAATAAATCAGTATAAATTGTTACAATTCATCATTCATCAATTTTGATTTACAGAAAAAATTCATTCGATCTGAAGGATATAAATGGATTTTACAAGAATACAATACAAGAATGCAAAAATGAATATTGAAATTCTTGAATAGCTTATTAATTATTATTAATTAACAACTATTGCCTATAAAAAAGTGCTTCACAAAATGATAGCAAAATTTTCTTATTTGAAAAGCTACTGATTAGTAAAATTTTGATAAAAAATCAGGAAAAATGATTAGTGTGAAAATTTTCATATTTGAATGTTGTCTTATTTGAAAGTATAAATTATTGCATTTCATTATTTTAAATGCCTTTTTTTACATAATAGTACAAATACAAAACGACTGGACTTTATTAATTCGAAACTAAAATTTGCATTTAAAAATTTAGTAAACAAATTTAGAAATAAAACTATTTAACTTTCCAAAAAAGCATACCTTATTAGTTTAGCATGAATTAAAAATTGCTTCAAATATTTAATTTCCACTAAAATTCATATTTGAATTCATAAGAAATCACCACCACTACAGCATACAGCAAATGACTTTCCTAATTAAAATTTTCTTACTGAATCAGTGTCAGTATTTAAAATCAAAACAGAAATATAATATAAAAATGATTTTAAAATCGATGTGCACAATCAATACAATCAATTGCAAATATTAGTTATCAGCTAATTAATTTTCTAGCAATTATAGAAGAAATTATTTAACATTGATCTATAAGGATATGGATTAACAAGAGCAAATTATCGTAGAGGAAATGATTTAGTAAATCTCAATGGGTTTGAATAAGTAAAAAATCAAATGAAACATGAAACAATTAAGTTGCAAAGTTTTTTGTAATTAATATAGACTAAAAAAAAATTATTAACTTTTTATATTTTCTTTGGTCAAATAAAAATTTACTGAAATAACTTTGAAAAGCTTATAAATTTAAAAATTTAAATATAACTCTAATTTATTCATAAAAATACCAGTTTAAAAAAAATTTTATTTTTTGGAATTAAAAGACAGTTTTGTTTTTTTTTTTTTTTTAATGCAGATTTTTATTGAAAATTTTTATTTTGAAATTATTAAAATCTTAAATGCATAAATTCTGTTCGTAAAAAAGAGAAAAAGATGCAGTAATGGAGTTTTTATTATTTATAATTTAACTCAAAACAATAAATCGGTTGGTTGTTTCCATTAGCATAGGAAATTGATGGCTGAGAAATCTTCCAAAGCAATTCATTCAGGTTCAAATTCTCATTCATAATGCATTTATTACAAAAACAAAAATTTCTACCTACCCTTTTTAATGCATTATTATTCCACAAAAATTTAAAAAAAAATTTGTAAAAAAAAAGAAATGAAAAAATCAATTCCAATTTACTACTGAAAAGTTTCTATTCATCACCATTGATAATGCAACTAATACTTTTGATCATTTGAACAAATAATAGCTTAATTAGAATATCAATAATTTTTTTTTCATTAGTTAAGATGCCATAATTTCTTAATTGATTTTTTTTTTTAAATTTTGAAGAGAGAAATAGATTTGAGAAACAGGAAACAAAAAAATTGCAGCAGATGATATACCGAAAGGTTTAGAGGATGAAAAATATTTTCATGGTTTATTACCGCGTGAAGATTGTAATGAAATTTTGACAAAGGTATTATATTCACAATTAATATTTTTCTTTTAGATGCAATTAAAAAATAATGCGAAAAATTTTTGATTTATTTATCTAATTAACTAATTTTGATTCATTTATTCAAATTTTCAAGTTTTCTTTTTTTTTTCCCTATGAGAAAGCGAAGGTATATTATTATAGTAGCTAATAATAATTTAATGATAGGTTGGTGATTTTCTCGTACGTGTATCACAGCCACGACCAACTGATCCACGTGAAGTAATCATATCAGTACGCGTATCTAAAGGACAATCAGGACATTCAGTTCGTTCAAACTTATGTGATTTTCAGTATAAAAATTATTGCATTAAAATTCATTCCAAAAATGTTCATAATTAAATGAAATTTGAATAACAAATCTTTTCAATTACTTTAAAACTAAAATATTCAAAAAAAAAAATCTCATTTTTCGTGAACTAATAATCCTTGTAGATTCGACATATAATAGTTAAAAAGCAAAAGCTTCCAAACGGTCAAATTGCATGGATTGCAATTGAAGCGATCAAATTTACATCATTCTTCGAATTAATTGATCATTACGTGAAACGAGGCGATCCAATTAATCCTGAAGTAATAACTTTTTACTAAGAAAAAAGAAAATAAAAAATACAAAGAAAACAAAGTTGTAAATTAAAAAATTTCAATAATTATTCAAAATTGTCTTAAAAATTTACAAACAAAAAATTTTCTTTTGAGAGAAATTTATTAATTGATAAGTAGTATTCGCTATTATAGAAAATATGATTTATCGATTTTTCTCTCCTTTTTTCTGCATTTTTAATAGCAAGCATAATTTCAATATGGTTGAAATGATTAAATCTCCTTTTAATTAATTATTTACGTCATATTTGAATAATAAATTACCATTTTAGCTAAAGTGATAAGCAAAAGTAATCCATTTCGTTGTCATTTTTTTTTTGCAGATTATTAAAATCATTTTTGAATAATTAAGAAAATTTTTAATAATATTCAATGATACATTATTGGCTGATTAGCAAAATTGTTATTGAGATTAAATTGCTCGAGTTTTTCCATAAAATCTGCAATTAAAAAATTTAGGTCAATAAGATTTTATGAAAAAAAAAAAGAAATAAACCATAAGGATTTAATTATGATGATATTACACCTAATAAAAGAAAGCTTTAATTGCAAAAAAAGGAAAAAAAAACTGAATGATTACAGTAATTAATTTAATTAATACTTTTTTTAAAAAAAAGTTTTTAATTTGAAAAAAAAGTTTAAAAATATTTCTATTATACAGCTGGAAAACAGTGTATTAATTAAAGCAATTAATCGTCAACCATGGGAATTTAGTCATGATGATGTTACACTTAATAAAATGCTTGGCTCAGGCGCATTTGGTGAAGTGCGATCCGGTGTATTGACCATTAAGAAGAAAAAAATTGAATGCGCTGTGAAAATTGTTAGTACATAAAACGAAAGTAAAAGTATACTTTAAAAAATAAAAATTTAACTTAATTGATGTTTATCATCGATCAGTGCGGTTGGATTTAATTTCTTACTAAAATTTAAGAATGAATGCGTCAAAAAAAATCAATTGTATTGATTTTGATGTTTTACTTTTAGTTTTACTTCTTTTATTTTTTTTTTTTAAAAAAATTGTTTTACTTTTACTTTTGATTTAATTAGGCTAAACTTACGGTTACGGAAGCGCAAATGGCATTTCGAAAGGAAAAAATTAAAGAGATGATGCACGAAGCACGTCTAATGCGTCATTATGATCATGATAATATTGTTCGCATTTATGGTGTAGCAGTTGATCGTGAACCATTGATGATTGTGATCGAATTAGTAATGATAATATTATAAACTTATATTGCTCATTTAAAAAAAAAGTTAAAAAAATTTTATCAGAATACATAGAATTTAATTTCAAAAATCAAAAAGAAATAAAAGCAAAAGAAAAAACATTGAAATTAAATTAATGAATTTCAAAAATTTCTTAATAAATTATAAGTTATTTTTCTCTCTATGAGTATATAATCTATATTAATATGATAACTATGATATTGAATAATTAATGATAATTTGCAGATTAAAGGTGGATGTTTGTCAGATGATTTGAGACAGCGAAAAGGTAATATCACAGACGATGAAAAAGTTGAAAAGATGTGTCTTGGTGCAGCATATGGCTTGCAATATTTGCATTCAAAGAAATGCATTCATCGAGATATCGCAGCTCGAAATATTCTATATACAAAGGATAAAGTGGTCTGATTTATTCTTCATTCTTTTCAATTTTTATTCATTTCTTTTATTGTTTTCATTAAATTATTAAAAATTTCATTTTTTCATTTCATTATTTTCTTTATTTATTAATTTACTTTTTTTCGGTGTTTCTTTTTTTTTAAAAAAAAGAAATTTTTTTTTTTATTAACACATTTAATTAATCAAAGAAAAGGAGGAAAACATGCCGAAGTAATGTGACAATTTTTATAGGCTAAAATAAGTGATTTTGGTATGTCACGCGAGGGGACAATTTATAAGATGAAAACTTCGAAAAAAGTACCAATCAAATGGACAGCACCAGAAACTATTGCTACATTTGTTTATAGTTTGAAAACAGATGTTTATTCATTTAGTATAATGATATGTGAAATATTCACTGATGGTGAAGAACCGTACAAAGGATTAACTAATTCAGAAGTTAAAAAAATGGTTATTCATATGAATCATTCGTTATCTTTGCCTTTTTTCTTTTGTTTTCTTTGAATAAAATTATGATATGAAACATATAATTTAGGTATTACGAGGAGAAAGGATGGAAATACCGGAAGCACCTGATGGTATATCATCATTAATTCGACATTGCTGGGATCAAAATGCGTCATCTCGTTGGACAATGAAAACGGTATTAATTTTTTTTTCTTTTCTTTTTACCAAAACAAATTGATAATTTTTAAATCAAAAAAATACATAACACATGTAAGTAAAATAAGCAAAAATTTTGGAAATGTTTACTTTTTTTTCTTCTTTGCCTTTTTTAAAAAAAAAAAAAAATGGAAGAGAGAAAGCAAAAAAAGGCAAATAATAAATGTTTAAAAATTGTTTGAAATTTTGAATTGGCTTAATTAAGCTTTAGATTGCTTAACAGATTTGAGATGCAAAAACATATATACAATTATGATAGAAGTTTTTGCTTTTTTTGATATTATATGAGCGCTTGTTTACATATTATATTTGCTTTTGCTATGCTTCAAAATAATTTTTTTTAAGGCAGTGAAAAAGTTGGAAAGAATTGCTAAACAAATTAATCCTCAAGGACTACAATTGGACAATGTGACAGCAATTGCATTGGATTCAGGCAAAGATATGAGCTCATCCAAGAAAGCTATTAATTCCATTAAAAAAAGCTCATCCTTAAAAAGCATTCCCGATAGTCCAACAGTACAACAATTGGTAAGCACTCCTAACTGATATAATAGATAACAACTATAGTTTACTGATGTAAAGAAAAAAAATAATTAATTATTAAATGCATACTTTATTCAAAGTTTTTCTAAACATTTAATTGTTACTCAATACCAGTCAATAAAATGCATCATTAATTTGAAAATTTTCGATTAAATTTGATATACATAAAAAAAATGAATGATGCGCATAAAATTAGCATACACAAATAAAATTAAAATAATAAAATTATAAACATAACTAAAAAAAATTTCTTTATCAAATAAAAGAGAAAAAAGAATTTATGATAATAATGAGTTCATTTAATTTTTAGAATAAAGGATTGCAAAACAAGAAAAAGAATAAATGATATCATTTTTGCTCCCCATTTTATGCCAATGAACTGTTTTATTATTTCATTCAATTTTAATGATACTATATAATTTTAAAATGTTAGTTGCACTGCATATAATTATAATTAATAGGCGAAATATCTTAAAAAAGATTATGAAAAGAAATCTAACAGTGCAATATACTTAAGCTTATTCAATTTCTCTGATGTAATAATTAATTTTCCTAAGTTAATATTTATTTTTCCTGATATATTATTTATTCTTGATATTTAATGAAAAAAAAAAGAACAGAAAAAGATACTAATAATGGACTAAACAAGGAAAATAAAAAAATAAAACTAAAAAATTTTTTTGAACGTATTTAAAGCAAGTTGAAATATTTTTTAAAAAGTTGAGGTAAATTGAGATTTAATCCAAAGATAACAAAATTTTGCATTTGTATTTGATTATATAATTTTTGTGCAAAAAAACTATAAATTAGTAAAAAAATCAACTAATCACTAATCAATCAATAGTATTACTATAACAAAAGATATTATTGTAATTTGTAGTTGAAATCAGAATTTGTTGAATTAGCAAATAGCAACCGAATTTTGCATAATCAGCAAAGTAGTTTTTAAAATCACATAGGCAAAGAAAAAAGATACACCAAAAACATTCGTAAAAGAAAAAGCTGAGGTCAAAGGTTATACACTAACGTATAATTCTGTAAAGCATATCAAATAGCCTTTTAAGAAAGGAAAAAAACACACATATATTGAAACATACAGTTCAAAGTACATTTGAAATTATGCTTTCTTCGCAAAAGACATGTTAATTAATTTTCGATTGTAAACAATAGCAGAAAAAAATTGAGGTCAAAAGTCAAGGCGATTAAAATTTCTTCCTTAAAGTAGAGGTAATTAAACAATAAGCGCAACAGTTACTAATGCGTGATTTTCACTTTTTTTAGCAATATTTTAAATCTCCTGCTTAAAAATTTTTTTTTCCTTTGCTGGAAATTCTTGAATTACATTATCCTCAACAATAAATACATTCTTTTTTTTGGAACATTAAATCGGAATTTAAAATAGAATTGAAAAGAAAACTTTTTTAAAAAAAGTATATTAGTAAATTGAAAAAATTCAACTATTTGGTAAATTTCTTTCTCTAAAAATTTATATGAAATAAATTTCCTAATGAAAATGATAATTGCATTATAAAGTATTATTTCATTATCATTGAAATTATCGTTTCACTTTTTTTTTCTCTCTCTTTCATTTTGTTATAATATAACAATGTAGAAAGATAGAAATACCAATTTTCTCGAAAATTTTTCTTTTTCTTTGAAAAAAAAAAAAAAAAAAAGAAAGCTATCTTTAAAGAATGTTAGCATTTTTAGCCGCATGTAATGCTTTAAGTTGTTCCAATTCTTGATTTAAACGATTCATCTCACGTCGAAGTTCATCATTTTCCGCTTCCAATTGTTGCGCTCGTTTGCTACGATATTCAAATTGAGCGCGACGATTTGCGCGACATCGTTTTGCTGCTTCATTATTACGCCGTCGACGATCAATGTACTGTTGCTAAAAATACTTCCTTATAGTATTAAAGAAATATTTTCTAAGAAAAAAGAAGAAAGATTGAAATTTAAGTTATCAATTTTAAATTAGAATCGAATGAATGAACAATTAATAACGTTACCTTGCTAGATGGTCGCGAGCGTAAAGCTTTAACAATTGCGGAATGTTTTGGTGCTGGACTAAGTTGTGATCTCATTGAATCAGTTGTACTATTATTACTGGTTGGTGATTCCATACTATCACTACTATCACTTTTAATTGTTTTACCGGAATACACTGTGTCCGGCTTAGATGATACATCGGATATTACAGTTCGTGTTCCTGGTACTGTTAAGGCGTTACTCAAGTTTACTGCCAAACTACTCAAACAGTTTTTCAAATCATTCTGCAAACAAATCATTTCATTCAATAAATTGGAATTTTAAAACAAAACTTCTTTTTGAAGCTATACGATCGATTTAAATTTCAAATAATTTGCACAAATTCAGCTAAGAAAGCACAATAGCAAATTAATATAAGATTCGGACGATGTTGTAATTTGTTTTCACAATGCTGTTCAAGAAGCTAAACTATTTAAGCTTTCTAAATTAGTTATTAAGTTTCAAATTAATGTTGCATTTCAAGATCTTAATTGACTTATCATTTAAACTAACTTTAAGAATTAAAGGAAAACTACATTTTGTATTGTTTTATGATGAAATGTTTTATAATAATTCAAATTAAAAGAACTTTTTTGTAATTTTAACTAAACGAAAATTTCATTTTTGTTGTATTTAGTTTACATCTTTGGGTGATGAATTGTTGAGACCGGAATGAGTGTCGGTTCGACTTTGTGCGACTAATGGTGAGGTTCGTTTAGTGGAAAGTAATGAGCCAAGCAAAGATCGTGGCTTATCATCCGTATCACTTTCTCTGGCTTTATCTGAAGAAGATGATGATTGTGCTAAAGTATCGTTCGATATTTGCTGTTCCGTTTCAGTTTCTGTTGATAAATCCGGTTGTCGTTCCAATAATTCATACCGTAAAATATGTGATGATGAATCAGATGACGTTTCTATAAAAATAATGAATGAAATGATGCATTAGGATATATTATCATAAATTTATTGAATATATCAGTGATATATTATCAAATAAGCAACCTTTATGAGTAGTACCGTGCATTGAGTAATCTAATGGTGCAATATCGGCTGTTGACGAATCAGGACTGTAACTTTGCGTGGAACTTGTTGGATCACGTGAACTATGAAATGGTTGAAAAGCACCATGTCCAGAAGAAATTGTGGTTGGTCCAGATGATGAACAATAATTCTGAAATATTTTTTTTTTCTTTTACTCAACAAATAAATTTATTATAGAATGAAAAAAAAAAAAAGTTACGTCAAATATATCAAATGGTAACGTATGCTTCATATATATTTATGTCATTGCTAAAATTAAGTTAAATTAACGTATTTTAAAAATTGGTGAAAAGTATTACTTTATAAAAATTAATATATTATGTGTTAAAAGTAGTAACCTGTTGTACTTGTTGTAGTGCAGCTTGAAGAGTGCATATTTGTAATGCAGGAAGTTGTTGTGCTGCAGATGCAGACACTTGTGATGTAGCACTAGCACCTGCAGGTGTTAACAGTGATGTTGGAGCAGTTGCAGATGATGGAAAAATTGGTGATGGAACAGAACCGGATGATGTAGTAAGTAAAGGTGTGGCAGTAAATAAATGTGTAGGAAACATTGCTGGTAATTTTGATGGTGGTCCAATGACATTAGCCAGATTAGCTGCAAGCGTTGTCACCGATGAAACTGGTAGCGATGGTACCGTTGGTATCATTACATCAATATTATTCTTTCTTTGCGCTGTTGATACAATGACAGTATCATGAGCGGCAGATGTTACCAAGCGCAAAGTTTGTTGTTCTTGCTGCTGCTGTTGTTGTTGTTGCTGCTGTTGCTGTTGTTGTTGTTGTTGCTGTTGTTGTTGTTGTTGTTGCTGTTGTTGTTGTTGTTGTTGCTGCTGCTGCTGCTGTTGTTGTTGTTGTTGTTTCAATCGACTCCTTAGCAGATTATTTTCTTTAGTTAATTCGAGTAGCTTTTGTTCCATAATCTAAAATTCAATTCGAAAAATTTAAATTTACAAATCAACATGAATTTAAAGTACATACATGTTACACTTATTTACCATCATTTAGTTTTTTTCTTCATTCTGCCAAAAATTGAATTCTTATACTTCACAATGAGTAAAAAAAGTGTTTGTATTTTAAATATTGCAAATACCATATCATTCATACGACGCCTCTCACGTGACTTCTTTGTAATGTCGTTGTTGTGGCGTCGTTTTTCCCAAAACATATCATCTCGAATACTTTCATGTATGGATGTCCTGCTCCAGAATATTTTTTTTTTTTTTTTTTTGTTAAAAAGTAGTCAATTTAAAAAGTCTTTAACATTTTTATTTTATCTCGTTTATCATTTTTTTTCCCTTTTTTTTTCTTTTTTTTATGGGCAAATACGGAAACAATTAAATCTTATCTTTATATCACAATTAAATTCATTGGGTTTTTTTTTACCATTCTTATATTTCTAAAGTTTGATTAAGTGAAATTAAAAAAATTTTATGAAATGAACAAACCGTCTATTTGAATTGATATTAGATGGTGCTGGTGAAATGGAAGTTTCAGAACTATTCGATGAATCAGATGGTCTTCGATCTATGTGATTAGTTGAACAGATTAGATTCAAACCTCGTAACGATGAAGATGAATGTGAGCTTGAGCACGATTCAATATCTAATCCATCCATTACTCATCTGCAATTATCGCTTACCTTTTATTTTTAATTTACTCATTTTTAATATATTACCATAGTTTGGCATTTAAATTTTGCTATTTGGGTGAAAAGGAAAAAAAGAAAATAAGGCAAATAGTAAATTGAATCAGACATCATTGCTTTATTAAATTTTCTCTTTTTTCAGTTAAAATAATTTTAAATCATTAATTTTACATATGTATAACTAAAGTTGTAGAAAAGAAAATAATACAAATAAACAATTACTTTGTAATTTATTTTAAAAATTTCATAATTGCTAGTTAGTGAATTTTATTATTTAATGTTGAGCAATTTAATTGAGATTGCTTAAAATGGTAGAATTAGTGTTTAAGTATAAGGTATCGACACCTATTAATTAAAAATCATTCTCATATTAATGCTCAAAGAGATGGAACGATTTTACGATAAGTTGTCAATAAATATGTTGTTATGATATTAACACGATATGATAAAGATAGTTATTATCTAGAATGTATGACAGATATGATAAAGATATTGGCTATAAATGAATTTCAAGGCAGACCATGGTAATAATTATGTGATATTCATGCCGAAAGTAATAGTGGTGATGCTAGGAATAATAATTAGTAATTAATAATAACAATGGTCAATAATAGTGATTCTAATAA